GATCTGACCCAGTTTAGGGATGCTTATTCTCCCAGCAAGTCAGAAGCTCTGTGATGAGTTACTGCCACCCTCATGGGTCACCAGGCACCCATTATCTGGATGTTTCACTTGATCAGATGTAAGGGAGCATTTTCAGCTGCTTATTATTATCATCATTTCAAGACTACTTTCCAAATTTCAGTAGGGGGCTTTTTAAAGCAGGCCAGCTGCTCTGGTTGTGCGAGTCTGATGGTGTTTCACATGCTGAGCAGGATTCTAGTTGGACCCAGTTCGATTTTCTGTGCTTCTAGAAAGCTGAAGCCAATCCAAGTTCCTCTTTCATGCCTTTGGGCTCTGCCTACCTTTCCCTGCATTGCACCCCTGCTCCTGTCAGGGGAAAGCTAGGCTGTCAGGTGCTGTGTTCTAGTGACATCTTTTGCCCCCAAGGCTCAGTGATCTCCATGGAACCAGCATGCTGCCACCTTTCATCCTAGACTGCGATGTCTTGACAGTAAGATACACAGTATGTGTGATGATCATGGATGATTTCCTAGAACACTTAGGGCTGATGCTCCAGAGAATGTGTATCGTCTGTGGCTTATGACATAGGCTCGTTGTCTTTAGTCATCCTAAAGGTTCTTACAAATTCGTTCTGATTTTTCATGTCCTCAGCATTTGTTAGCAGAGAGTACATTTTATTTGGATCCTGAAATGACTCTGGTGACCCTCTTCCTCTTAGATTGTATTATTCTTGTGCTGATCATCACTTTTATTTGGCCTCATATGGCTATAATGAAACCTCAAGTACATAATCCTGTTGTTACTCCCTAAACCTGATTGATGATTGCCTTCAATTTAAAGAGGAGGGAGGGATACCATTGCTTCTTAGCCGCTGGAGAAACTCCTACTTATTGCTATATGCAGCAGTGAGCAGCGTGTAACTCACCAGGTTGTTTACTCCAGTCCTTTAGCCGGAAATTATCATTCAGGGAGTGACATTTTGTGCCAAACACTAGTTATTTAAGTATGTTGTTGTTGAGTGCTGTCGAGTCGCTTCTGACTTATAGCAACCTGATGCACAACAGAATGAAACACTTCCCGGTCTTGTGCCACAGTCGTTACACTTGAGCCCATTGCTGCTGCCACTGTGTCAGCTCATCTTATTAGGGGTCTTCCTCTATTCCCTGACCCTCCACTTTACCTAGCATGATGTCCTTCTCCAGGGAACTGGACCCTACTGATAATGTACCCAAAGCACAAGAGAAAGTCTCATCATCCTGGCATTCTGATACTGCTTCTTTCAATAAAGATTTGTTTATTTGTCTAGTAGTCCATGGTACTTTTAATAATGATTCTTCAACACCATGACTCAAATGCATCTGTCCAACCATAGTCTTCCTTATTCATTGTCCAACTTTCACATGCATAAAAAGCTATTGAAAATACTGTGGCTTGGGTCAGGTACACCTTAGTCCTCAGACTGACGTCTTTGCTCTTGAACATTTTGAAGAAGTCTTGTGGTGCAGATTTGCCTAATGCAATACATCATTTGATTCCGATCTTGCATAGTCAGTAAACCACAGGTAAATATCTTTTGGGTATTTTCTACTTTCAGCCAGCATCCATTTGACATTAGCAACAATAATCCCTCATTTCACATCCTCGTCTGAATCCAGCTTGAACCTCTGGCATTTCCCTGTCAATGAATGTTGCAGCCATTTTTGAATTGTCTTTAGCAAAATTCTACTCACATGTGATATTAATGATATTATTAGGTGATTTTGGGTCACTTCTCTTTGGCATGGGTACAAATATGGATCTTTCCTAGACATTTGGCTAGGTAGTTGTCTTCCATATTTCTTGGCATAGATGAATGAGTGCCTCCAATGCTGCCTCAGTTTGTTGAAACATTTCACTTTGTATTCCATCAATTCCTGGCACCTTGTTCTTTGCCAATACCTTCAGTGCAGCTTGGACTTCTTCTTTCAGTACCACTGGCTCTTGATATTATGATATCTCTTGAAATGGTTGAACATCATCCATACCTTTTTGGTGCAGTTACTCTGTATTCCTTCCATCCGCTTTTGATGCTTTATGCATCATTCAATAGTTTGCCCATAGAAAACCAAGATTGCAAATCATGGTTTGAATTTTTTCCTCTGTTCTTTCAGTTTGAGAAGTGCTGAACATGTTCTTTCCTTTTGGTTTTCTAACTTCAGGTCTTTGCACATTTCATTATAATATTGAATTTTGTCTTCTCGAGCTGCCCTTTGAAGTTTTCTGTTCAGTTCTTTTACCTTCTCATTTCTTCCTTTTGCTTTAGCATTTCTGTGTTTGACAGCAAGCTTGAGAGTCTTTTCTGACATCCATTTTGATCTTTTTATTTTTTTCCTGTCTTCTTAATGACCTTTTGCTTTATTATTTGATATTCTTGATGCCATCCCACAGTTCTTCTGGTTTTTGATCGTTAATGTATACTGCACCAAATCTGTTCTTGAGATGATTTCTAAATTCAGATGGGATATGTTCAAGGTAAAATTTTGGCACTCGTGGACTTGGTTTAATTTTCTTCAGCTTCAGCCTGAACTTGCAAAGGAGCAATTGATAGTCTGTTCCACAGTTTGTCCCTGGCCTTGGTTTGACTGATGATAAGGAACTTTTCCGCTGTCTCTTACCACAGATATAATCACTTTAATTCCTGTATATTCCATCTGGTGAGGTTATGTTGTTTAAAAAAGTTATTTGTAATCAAGAAGTCATTGATCTTGTAAAATTGTGACCTCCAGCATCATTTCTATGATCAAGGCCATATTTTCCAACTACTGATCCTTCCTCTTTACTTCCAACCTTTGCATTCCAATCTCCTGTAATTATCAACACATCTTGATAGCATGTTTGATCAATTCCAGACTGAAGAAGTTGATATAATTCTTCAATTTCATCATCACTGACTTTAGTGGTGGTACATAAATGTTAGTAAAACTGATATTAATTGGTCTTCTATGTAGGCGTATGGAAATTATCATATCACAGACAGCATTATACTACAAGGTAGATCTTGAATGTTCTTTTTTTTTTTCTTAAATGTTTTATTGTGAATTATGTGATAATAGTTTACATGGGAGAACATTAGTTTTACATTCATTCTATAGTATATC